TAGGTGCTAGGAGCGCCCTTTCTGAAGGTTTGTAGAGTCGTAAGACCACCATACACATGTCTATCAAGAGAGCAATTACAAGGCTCTATTGAGGTCCGCCGCCGGGTTCAGCCACCTCAAACCGTAATTGCATGGAGATCCGCGTGGGATTTTTCTGTTGACCATTTCCGTGTGGAAGAAGGGTTTGGATTCGTGAGATTTTCGAGGAACCTTTTTCTACCTTTTGCTCCGGCAAACCCGAGTCCGGGACAGGCGGCGGATCGCATTCGGCGGTGTTGGGTTTTTCAAAGAGTTTGTCCTGATCTCTCTTCTCATTTCTCCACTATTGACCTCGCAATATACATTTTCTTTCAATCCTTTCAAACGAACTTTCAGAGGCGTATCTCGCTTTCTAGACCCCGCTCGCTTCTGGTGAGTGTGATCTCATTCTCCAACAGTTAGGCAGAGAAGCGGCTTGCTGAATGTTATTTGAAACGTTGTTGGTTTTAAGTACATTGGATCCTACCGGAATCATCTGTTCACCTTATTTCTTTTCCCTTCTGTTGGAACCTACACACAGCGCGCTCTCGTCATCAGATTCTATTCTTGAAGTGGCGTCCTTGAATAAGGATGGCGGACATCCTTGTCTCCGTCCGCGCGAATTTGCGGCCAGTCATCCGCCCCTCCCCAACAAAAGCGCCATCGGCACCTACATCTGTAGACCCCTTCTTGGCATCAGTAATCCAAAAATTAAAGCCGGTGTGCAGAACTTCCCAACCCAAAACTTTACCCGGAAACCAGGGAGCGCAGAAAGGTGCCCCTGGAAAGCAACAAAATTCGGTTGGCACAGATTTCAGAGCGAAGGTGGGTCCACAACAGGTTATTTGAGACATCTCATTGCAAGAGGAAACAGCGGATGGCATTGACTCTTCTGCAAATGCTGATGAAAATTCACTTTCCTTCAATTTGCCGCCTAGCCTCTGTCAAAACCATTTTCCTCATCCAGTAAATGCCAGTCATTTACTTCGTCATCCTTTTCCTCAAATATCAACCCCCCAAGCCCCGTCAGTCCTACCGCAGAGGCATTCAGTTGTTGGCCTGATAACAACAACAACCCCGCATCCATATCCACCAAATCATCATTTCTCCAAGTTCGAAAAACCTACCGATCCTCCTCACCGCAGAAAGATACACCAAAGTCCCCGACATCACGTACCCACAGTCCTCAAACACCATGTACCGTCACGTCTCTCATCAGCAAGTTCAATCAACACAACCAAGTTCCCTCCCATTATAAGTCGCTGGCGTCAAAGAGGCCTCGAAGCCGTACTCCGAACGATGAGCCTGTTCAACAAAAGCAAAAAGTTGGCTTTGAGAAAACCCCGATAACGCCTCCACCCTCTCCTCCTCATTCAACCTCAAATAGCGGATCGTTAATTATTCCGTTGCGACAAGACTCCGCCATCTCCGTCAAGTCAAGCAAAAGCGTGATCTTGAAGTCGCGCCAACGTGAGAATCGAAAACCGAACTCGTTGCAAATACAAACGGAAATCTGCGTCGTCTCTCCAAAATCCCCAGCGATTCCGATTCCTCCTCCTGCACCTCGCGTCGCAGCATCTCCGCAGGTATGGTATTTTCAGCAATTTCGGGAACCACATCAGATTCATCACTCGAATACTGCCTTCTGACACAATGTGCTGCCTCCTTTGCTGCTGACCGCAGACATGTCAACCATCAATGCCTTCCCCGGTTACTTCCATTAGCATTGCGCCTATAAAACTTTTCGAGATCCGCGGGCGAGGCCGTATGGCGGTGCAGAGAGTGAGTTTTGGAATGCCCATCTCTTTTAGCAAGGGGTTAGCATGACCAATCGGCAAAACATCATGTCCTATTTATTGGAGTTTCTAAACGGACTCCTTTCTTTTTCAACATTCACACAAAGGTTCCACCTCTCATCTCCTCGTTAAGAAGTGATGCAGTTTTCATCCTTTCCGCGAACAATCGACTGATACAATGGTCTGGTTCCCGGGCACCGCGTGTTGCAGTAACTTATGCCGCATTCTTGATGCTCCGCATTCTCTACCGCGACTGCCGTGGGGAAGCAGACACGTTTCAACTTTCCGAAGAATGCTCCATCTCAAACCCGGATGTCATTTCCGCGATTTTCTGGCGTGCCATTGCTGCGGGCAAACTCTCGCCAAGTCAAAAACGCGACAACATAGCAAACCAGATGCGCAAGGCACAGAACGAAAAGGAGATACCGCAATCAGTGAACATTTACAGGTACATTTCAATTTGACCTCCGCTTTATACAAACATCAATTTCACACATTCTTTGTGTTTTCACACCTTCATCCCCGTTTAGAATTTCCTCGGCGGATCGGGTGTATCCAGGAGAAGGTCTGTGCGAAGCAGGAACAGACCAAAAAGGGGCCGAACTTATTTACTCGGGACGGTGTTTAAGTCATGAGCTTCTTAGTCGCCGCAACACCCCATCCCACAGTTTGAAAGCCTCTTACGACCTCATCTACCCGAGAAGCGACTCCGTTTATGTGTATGACTTTGGTTCAGAGTTATACATCTGGTCAGGAGCGGCATCTAGTTTTGAAGACCAAGGGGCAGCAACTCAGTTTGCAGAGGTATGTTGATACCCTGATTCAGATGAGGCGACATCTACAATACACTAAATAGTCGCAAGGTTTTGCCAATACTGATTACCACACATTCTCATTCTCCATTCCTTTGGGGCCTCAGTCATTGAAGCGGATGCCGCAGTCGACGATGACACTCAACAGCATCAACAACCCCCTCACCAGCCACGCGGGTTCAGTTGCTCCGGAAAACTTGATTGCACGACCGAAATGGGCATTTTTAGAAACCATTCATGAGGAGGACGAACCCACCATCTTCAACCTCCGCATAGCCCGCAGAAACTCCGTCCAATTCTGTTTCAATTCATTCCCGTGCTAGCACGATCGATTTCTTGCGGAATCCGGACCAGTTCTGCTTTAACTTATTTCCATGTCAATCACACGATTCCTACGAAACTATGTAATTCGGATCCATAATCACCGCATATACCCAACATATACCCCGCTGTTACTACAGCACTGAAATGTAACTAATATCCGAATTATAGACGGCTGAGTTCTTCATTTCATAATACTGAAAAATGCCCTTGTCTGTTTGCTGGGGTCCGAAATCTCAACATTGCGTTTGACCATTGCAATTGCGCGTTCGGAGATGACGCGACATTACGGCATATCGAGATGGCGTACCAAAAAGATGCATACACTGGCCGCAGGTATTTCCTCTGAACGAGCGCTTGCTCATCAGTACCATCTCTTGTTCCGGTTTTTTCTTCAATTTGCACGAAGATCAACATACAGATGTCGTTCAGAACACATCACCAAACTCATCATGCTCCATATTCATTTAGATCGCCTCCTCGTTTTCTTCGAGCCTCCACATCATTTCCTTCCTCCTCTTCTTCTTCCTCTTCGGAAGGGGGTTAACGGAATCGTACACGCACTTTCGGTAATGCGCTGTGTCTTGGAGAGTCCAGGTTGCTGCGCACAATGCTATTGTCGAACGCCGTGTTAGACGCTACCAGATGTTGGGGGATATCACAACTGATGCATTCAATTTGCGGGAGCATCGACTGTAGAAGGGGTGCGGGAGAATATGCCGCTTGTGAAGAAGAATCTGGACGCTCACATTGTGAAGTGGATGATGGGAAAGGCGCCAGACAGAGTCACAGAGGTGGTCGGTAGGGGAACCGCGCAGCAGGGAGATTTTGAAAGTAGCTATAGGAATGATAGTGAAGACCGTTGATGGCCGCTTCATCAACGATATTGACATGAGGAAGGCTCGGGAAGCGAAAAGGATTCCTTGCGGGGGTGAGGTCGAATTCTTCGGTGATGGAGAGTAAAGGACGAAAGGAGAGGATGCTGGACGAAAGGAGAGCGGTAAATATTGGATAGTGGATATCCAAATCTTGGGAGTGAAGAGTGGGCATTGCAACTACACCTTAAAATACTGCAACGATTGCCACTATGTCTTTAACGACGCACGCCTCTGGCGTACAGCTAACATCGTTGAAGAAGCTAACCAGCAGACGGTTTCTTCTTCGCGCGAGGTTTACTGATGGATTTTCGATGACCATGCCTCTATTGTTTCGGCCCTGACGACTTCAATGTCGTGGAAAGCATTGTCAACTGGTTGGCGATGGTCCTCTAAATAATCCTATAATTTCGGACACGGCTGGTAGGAATCGGTGGGTTTCCATTGGTTGGGAGAAAGACGCAGAACTTGATGGTGATGACGCCCATAGGCGATCGATGGATCTGGGCGGCCTGTCGGCGGACGTGAATGTCCATGGTAACCATATCAGGTGCGTAAAAATGCTGAGTACTATATTTTTGGATCATGAAGTGGAAAATCGAAAAGAGTCGCAAGCTTTGGCGACATTGGTATTTGGTGGATGCATGATGCATTTCAAAGTCGGTGGGACCAACGACGCGCGCCCACATCCTCAAGGCCCCACTGGTTTCATTGAAACTGAAGGATTGGATGGAAGTCGTTTGAAGATGTGCGATTTTAGAAGTTCATCAGCCGCGGTGCTCCAGGAACACTGCAATGTGCGGCAAACTGAGAAGTACCAGATCAGGAGTAGGACTGTGGAAATTAGCGTTTTCAAGACGGGATTTGTTTGTGTTGGGTATTGGTGCAGGTCAGAGACGTGTCAAGATAACAAGCTTTGGGACTGCAAGAATTCGATTTGGAATTTTATGTATGTATTCCACAACCGCGTTTCGTTTCTGGACAGCATTTGCTGTCAAGATGGGCGCGCGACGGGATTTGCGAGTGAGGAAGATGGGTGCGAAATATGTCAAAATGAAGAAAACTAGAAATAACATGTCAAAATGAAGAAAACTAGAAATATGCTCCAACAACACACTAGCAAAGGAGCTCAAATACATTCATCGCAGATGGCAGTAAGCATAGCATTTATGTCGGAATCCGGCCTCCCGGAGTTAAACCGGGGACCTACAGATGCCTGCGTCGCCACTCATTTCAGGGAAGGCACCCCTACAGTCTGCCGCTACTACCAACTGAGCTAAGGCCGGATCGAAGTCTCTGCAAGCCTGCTATGCTGTTTTCAAATGAAGGAATTATAGCGAAGAACCAAGCTTTATTCCCCTTCAGCTCGGCCAAACCTCGTCGGACTCAAATATCAAATGAATGTCACGAAGCAAAGCAGGTTGTGTCCAATTGGCATGCGCTCGGCCGAAAAACAGATAGAGATAATATTTCCCACCCTGAAACTCGTTTGCCCGCCATCACGTTTTCACCCCTCTCCATCTTTTTCGATCCAAACATCTGAAGAGAGATATGCCTATGACGTTTTCATTTGCACTCTTCCGTCTGGACTGCGGGGCAACCATAATTTTATGCAGTTAACAGAGGACGGATGTGGGACCACGTGTATGTGCTGGAAAGCACTGGCGAGGAAAAATAAACATGACACCTTTTCCCGGTCCAGCAAGTTGACAGCGAGGATCAAGGAGTGAGAGTTTGGAAAATGCCATGATTTGATCTTTTAGGTATGAACAGGTTATTGCTGTTTCTGCGACGTTCGCATGATGTTTGGGATCACAAACTCTCTCTCTTGCAGAGTCCGTGTACATATGAGAAATCCGTGCATGTTTACTCTACTGAAAGACTGATCTTTCACGTTTGCTGTGTCAGGGTGAGCAAGATCAGCAACGGAATCTATTTCTTTCTGACGGATGAAGGCAATTTCTTCCTCCAAATCGCCCTCCAATCAATTAACATAAACTGGGGTTTTAATTTGCTGAGACTACATTGCCTTAAATTATATAGACTATGATTGCCTACAGCCGAACGCCTCTATCATAAATTAGTATTTGCCATAATCGTACTTCCCGTCATAGTACTTTCCGTCGTACTTCCCATCGTAGTTCTTGCCGTCGTAATACTTATTGTCGTAGTACTTGCCACCGTACTTGCCCTCAAATCCATGACCGTGGTACTTTCCGTCATATTTCCCATCGTAGTGACCGTACTTGCCATCCCAGTACTCGTTGCGGTGAGCGGCCTTCTTGAGGGCTTCGCACTGGTAGAAGCATCGCTTCTGGTACTTTTTGTCCTTGTTGGCGTGGCAAATCTTCAAGCACTGCTCATCTTTGTGGTAAGGAAGAAGAAATTGAAGAACAGGTGTGCAATCAGCACACATGCAACGAAAGGACAGAAGGCGCTTCGTTTGAACCACGATCATGAAGAAAGGCGCTTTTGGAGTGGTCATGGCATTCCGTGTACATACAAGTCTGCTCGAAGCTGTATTTGCTGTAGTAGCCGTCGTACTTCTTGCCATCGTAGTAGCCAGGCAGAGGCTCCGCGGTGGTGGGTTGCGAGCCAAGGAGAGCCAAGGCAAAGGAGACGATCGCAAGGACAAAAGAAGTGCGCATGACTGGTGGCAAGAAAAGGATTGATGTGTTTGATTTGGCGAAGAGATGTGAAGAGTGCGACTGGATGATAGGAAAGGACGTGAAAGGAGCGCGTTTTTATAAGGGCATACAGCTGGTGGGGATGTGTGAATCAACATTTTCGCACCTACATTGCTACGTAACCCAGGGGTCGTGAGAGAACGCACAAATTCACAAGCTGACAACGTGCTTGAACCTTCCTGGAAACAACTCAATACAGACTAGCAACACAGATGTGGGATTCACGTCAACCGCGGAGCATAAGCATATGTGTGAGCCCGAGAGAGGATTGAAAGAAGGTTGCAAGGATCAGCTGCGGCAATAGAGGGATTCAAGCTGGATTCACTCGAACTTCCAAGTATGAGGTTTGAAGGACGCGCCGCTCATGACCTCAAGGCTCCAGTTTTGATTGGAATCCTCTAAAGTTTTCAATGTAGAATGCGCACACCAAATAAAATACCGTCCAGATCTTCCCAGAAGAGTGTTCTGCAAGGATAGGGGGGAAATGAAAAGCAATGCCGTGCCATTAAAATATATGCTGATTCGACCCAATGGCATTTGCAAATGGTTATTTCTCACTTTCCGTTTGATGCGCAGGTCTAGTAGCTCCGCGGAACCTCTGCGGGGAATGGATGGACACCGCAGCTGTCCGATCTCCACCATTACATTGAACAGAAGCGCCCACCGTGGGGGTCGAAACCACAGCCTTGGAATTAAGAGTCCCACGCTCTGCCGATTGAGCTAGCCGGGCTGCGTGCATAGATCTTGATAGTTGAAAACGAAAGAAGGCAACCGAAGCAAACTTTCCTTAATCAAACAAAGAAAATTGGTGGAAGCAGAGGAACCTCCGCCGCACTTACTCCGCACGTCCAGATGATTGATGTCCGCGTGGAGCTACGCATAAGAATGTCAGCGTTGGCCTGGAGGCCAAGATCAGGGAACAATTTCCAGCCGAGCGGAATGGGAGGATAAGTAGGCCTAGGGAGAACGTGCCCATTCCTTTGAGAAGCTAAAGCGTGGCGATCTCTTGGAAGGCAAGAAGGCAAGAAGACATGTACAGGAAGGCTAAATGGCATAAAAGCGGGTTGAGCTTTATAAATTTACAATCCGAGTTGACTCCGTAGGAACTGTCGAGTTTGAATTCGAAGACATCTCACGCAGGTGTAGGGTACGCGAGACATTTCATCGACGCGTCAGGGAACACTTTCCCTCAGAAACTTCTCGCAAAACCTTAATTTCATACGGATGTAGCAGATCCCCTGCATTTGATGATCCGTACAGAAAAAAGTTGTTCTCTTGTTCCTCCCAATGTTTCACATCTTCTCCTCTGGGTGCAAGTTATCCAATGTGCTGGGTAATGCGCTCTTGGCCGCCTAACGAGGGAGTTGACCAGGTGTCCGAGACGTACGCATGTCCGAAACGGGCAAAACAGAGTTGTCCGCAGAAAAGGAAGCATGCGTCTGGTGGGAAATGACTTCAATGCTCGTGGTGCATGAGCAAAACACACAAACTGCAAACGGCGAAAAGTGCCCAATGTGGTCGAGTCTCGAGAATAAAAGGAAAAAGGAACAAAGTCCATTGGAGTAAAGAGATTTTTTATTTACAGTCTCCGCGGGACTTTTTTGAACTCTTGGTCGTTATGATGAGCCTGACTCGCGTATTGACGAATGTCTGGAGGTCGACGATATGTGTATGCATAGCATTCAGAAGAAAATGAACGGAACCCCAGCTGCACAGCTACAATCAGCCCTGATCCAGACGGGCTGGGTCACCGTTGTCCCTTTGGAGCCGGCGTCCAAAATGTAGATATCTCTGAAATAGAAGTGAATTCGAAGCTTAAAGGGAATACGTCGACGAAAATGCAAACGGGAACGGGTAATTGATGTGTAATTGTTAAGTTTCAACAATAAATGGAAGAAAAGCCAAGGACCGAAGACAGATCTAGAGGAGAGATACGTGTTTCACACCAAATGTAGTATAATTGCGTTGGCGAGCTTTTTAGGAACAGCGTGAAGTCCTGGATATAGCGTCCTTTTTAGGAACAGAAAAGTGAAGTAGACGCTGAACGGTCGCGAAGAAGAAAGAAAACGGTTCACGTTGACACGAAGTCGGCGTGCAGCGGAACCCCGGCCGCGGGGCGTTTTGGTGTGCTGCTCGCAATCGGAGCACTTCAGTCTCAGCATCTTCAAGCACCAAACGTTGCCTTTCAAAACCTGACTTTTGGAACGCGAGTCAGTCAGAAGGGACCAAATAGGAAAACCAGCCGCGTGTTTGCGACAAGGAGTCAATGTTAACATGTAATTTAAACGCTTCAAATCCATTAGGTTAAATGTGATTGAGGTTCAGTGCAAAGTGTTAGGAAATGACCTCACACGGCCTTAAATTGTGAACGATGTTGATTGGCCAAGTAAGAAACGATATTCGCGGGTGGATTTACATAAGAGCCCAGGCAGGGTTCATCGGAGCTTCAAAATAAGCTCCAATCAATCATGTGGACAACGCCCGGAAAGGAGCAAGACCATAAGAAGAAATCATCGTTGGGGCTGGTCGGCCTTAAGCGTCCACCAGTTGTAGAAAATGCAGAATATATACGCGTACCTGTGTCGTTTTCTGTACATGTCGTTCAACCGCCTTTGCACCCATACTCACAACAAATTCTCAAACATTCACGAACATGGTCTCAAACGCGTTGCTAGCGACTCTGTTGTTTTCGTCCTTAATTGGTAACGTAGGCACCATGCAATGCTATTCAGGTTTCGATCGATAATTAGACGACTAAGAATCGGACCTTTGATGTTCGTGTTTTCATTCAACCCACAGATCTGGGTTCAGCAGTATGTAATCGAGGTAGGCGTGCGCGTAACGTGCAAATTGAACGGTTTTCCGTCGTTCTGCATTCTCAGCATTCCGTTTAGACCCGAGTGCTCCCATGAATTGAAACGGGACAACACTCATACCCTTAACCTTCCCGTAATATGCCCCCAACGGATTCCTTCAAGACATTGGTTGTGGCATTGATTGCAAATACCCATGCCCTGTCGGATTCCCTTGCTCGACAGCTGGGGATTGCGTCACAGGTACTTGCGTGAGTGGGTACTGTGATGTTGCCGTGGAAAACTCGCCATCGCCGTCCCCTTCGCCATCAACAAGGACGACATCAACCAGAGTTACTAGCACCTCAACACGGCGCACAAGTTCCACCACTTCTGCAACACCGACACCAACATCGAACCCATGCAACAATGGTATTGTCAATATAATTTTTGGATTTAGAATCTATTCGGAGATTTCATTTACGAGTGGACATCTTCTATAACGCTTTTTCTGCTTCCACAACTGTACACGTATACGTGTACTTTCTGCTCTTCTTCGCGGATGATTCGATCACCAACAGGGTGCGGTGCCAACTGCCCATATTTATGTCCCTACGGATTTCCGTGCTCCACGGGGAACGATTGCATATCTGGAAACTGCGGAGGGGGCTTTTGCGATCTGAAAGCCCCACCTCAGTCGCCTTCACCCTCACCCTCACCCTCACCCTCACCCTCACCGTCTCCATCCACGACAAGTACTTCTCAAACATCGACTAGAACTTCAACCAGCGTCACAACTACTTCCGT